GGCCCTGTGTCATTGAGACCAAGGGACCAAGGAATCCGGAACGTGTCTTCACGTACAAGCAAATCAACGAGGCATCCAACCAATTGGCGCATTACTTCATCGCCAATGGCTGCGAGCGGGGCGATGTAGCTATGATCTATGCCCACCGCGGGTAAGTGCTCCCCATTCGAACCCCCTGGCCTCATGCATTGCCTCTGACCGTCTCAGTGTTGAACTCGTCGTGGCATACATGGGAGCTCTGAAAGCTGGTGCAACTGTCAGTGTCCTAGACCCGCAGTACCCTCCTGATCGCCAGAAGGTTCTCCTAGAGGTCGCCAACCCGCGTCTTCTCGTTCACATCCAACGAGCCACCGAAGAGGCCGGCAAGCTGGCCGACACGGTTGTCGAGTTTGTAGAGAAGCATCTCAACCTCAAGGCTGAGGTTCCGGCTCTCAAGTTGCAGGATGATGGATCACTCTCTGGAGGCCTCATCAACGGTCAAGAATGTCTGAAGGAGTCGGAGTCGCTCAAAGCAACTCTGCCCGATGTCCTCATTGGACCAGACTCCATTCCCACCCTCAGCTTCACCAGCGGCTCAGAGGGAAAGCCCAAGGGTGTCCAAGGCCGGCACTACTCTCTCACATACTACACTCCCTGGATGGCTCAACGATTTGGTCTGTCCAAGGATGACAGGTTCACCATGCTGTCAGGCATCGCACACGACCCCATTCAACGTGACATCTTCACCCCCCTGTTCCTCGGAGCCCGCATCATGGTTCCCCCTCGCGACATCATTGCCCATGAGCTGCTGGCTGAGTGGATGAAGGACAACCAGATTACGGTCACCCATCTGACGCCTGCCATGGGTCAAATTCTTGTCGGTGGTGCTACAACGCAATTCCCCACTCTCCACCATGCCTTCTTCGTTGGCGATCTTTTGACCAAGAAGGATAGCCGAAGGCTACAAGAGCTTGCGCCTAACGCTTTCATCACCAACATGTACGGCACGACCGAGACTCAGGTATGCCTCCGTTCCTTTGGACAGCCACATTTCCGGCCACTGACGTACCTAGCGAGCTGTTTCCTACTTTGAGATCCCTAGCAAGGCCAGCCAGGAAAACGCTCTGGACGAGCTTCCCGACGTCATTCCCGTCGGACAGGGCATGCTCGACGTTCAACTTCTCGTTGTTGACCGTGACAACTCAAACCGCGTGTGTGACGTCGGCGAGCAAGGCGAGCTGTTCCTCCGTGCTGCTGGCATGGCTGAGGGCTATCTCGGCACGGACGAGCTGTCGAATAAGCTCAATGCCACTAAGTTCCTGAACAACTGGTTCGTCGACAACCAGAAATGGGTCGACGAGTACAAACAGACGGCGGCTGCCGACCCCAAGCCCTGGATGGAGCTTTACAAGGGCCCCCGTGATCGCATCTACAGAACTGGTGATCTGGGCCGCTTCCGCCCAGACGGTACTGTTGAGTGCACCGGTCGTGTCGATAACCAAGTCAAGATTCGAGGCTTCCGCATCGAGCTCGGTGAAATTGATGCTCATCTTTCACACCATCCCTTTGTGCGCGAAAATGTCACCCTCGTCAGGAGAGACGAGGGCGAGGAACCGACGCTGGTCAGCTATATCGTCCCTGAGGCCAAACGTTGGTTCCAGCACATCACCGGCGACGGCGCGGCGGGTGAAAGTGCCGATGAGTCGATGGCTGCGATGCTGAAGAGGTTCAAGTCGCTGTCGGAGGACTGCAAGGCTTTCCTGAAGACCAAGGTCGCGTCCTATGCCGTGCCCACCATGTTCATTCCGCTCGTTCGAATGCCCTTGAGTAGGTTCTACGTTTCCTGCTAACACGTCATACTTTGCTAACCATTCATAAGATCCCAATGGCAAGATTGACAAGCCAGCTCTGCCTTTCCCCACTGCTGGAGACCTCGCTCACCTCAACAGGAGAGGCTCGAGAACTTCCGCGTTGGCTTCTCTGACTGACACCCAGAAGAAGGTCGCTGCGGTCTGGGCTCAGGTTCTCCCCAACCGGACTGCGCGCATGTTCGTGCCGGAGTCCAACTTTTTCGAGGAGGGTGGCCACTCGATTTTGGCCCAGCAAATGCTTTTCAACGTCCGTAAGGAGTGGAAGGATATCGATGTGCCTATGAGCGCCATCTTCCAGTCGCAGACTCTGGCTGCCTTTGCCGCCGAGATTGATCGTGCTCAAGATCCCACTGGTCTGCGTCTCGACGTTGAAGATTTGACCAACACGAGCTATGTTCAGGACGAGGCGTACGCCGCAGACGCTACCGAACTGGTGCAGCAGCTCCCTCAGTCGATTCCCAGCGCTGACTCCATCGACCCCAAGAACTTCACTGCGTTCATGACGGGCGCTACTGGTTTCCTTGGCTCATACATCCTTTACGAGCTCCTGCAGAAGGGCGCTCGCGTCATCGCTCACGTGCGGTCTTCCGATGCCGCTGCTGGCCTGGCGCGTATCGAGTCCTCCACCAAGGCTTATGGCCTCTGGTCTGAGGATTGGAGATCGCGTCTGTCGGCCGTGACTGGCGATATTTCTAAGCCCCAGCTTGGTCTTTCCCGCGTTGACTGGGCTAGGGTTGCCAGCGAAGCCGACGTCATTATTCACAACGGCGCGCAAGTCAATTGGATGCTTCCATACTCTAGTCTGCGCAAGGCAAACGTGATCAGCACCATGGACTGCATCGCGCTGTGCGCTGACACCAAGCCCAAGCAACTGGCTTTCGTCAGCTCCACCTCGACCATCGACACTGACCACTATGTCAACCTTTCGAAGGAGAGCGTTGCTGCTGGTGGCAAGGGTGTCTCCGAGACGGATGACCTCGACGGCAGCCGCAAGGGCCTAGGCACTGGCTACGGCCAGTCCAAGTGGGCAAGCGAGTACGTCCTTCGTGATGCCGGCCGCCGCGGTCTTACCGGTGCCATTATTCGTCCTGGCTACATCATGGGTGATCCCAAGTCTGGCATCAGCATCACGGACGACTTCCTTGTTCGTCTGTGGAAGGGCTGCCTCCAGGTCGGCGCCCGTCCTGATATTAACAACACAGTCAATCAGGTTCCCGTCACGCAAGTCAGCCGCATTGTCGTCGCCGCGGCTCTTCATCCTCCTACGACACCCCTCGGCGTCGTCCAGATCACGAGCCACCCGCGGCTCACACAAAACGAGTGGGTCGGCACCCTTGAGACGTACGGCTACAACATCCCCAAGGTGCCCTACCCTGAGTGGAGCGACAAGTTGCGTGCCTATGTCGGCGATGAAACCAAGGAAGAGCACGCCCTGTTGCCTCTATTCCACCTCGTAACGGGCAATCTACCTGCAGGCTCGGTCGCGCCTGAGCTGGACGACAGCAACGCGGCCGCCGTGCTCAAGGCATCGGGTGCCACAGAAGAGGACCCTCTTGCCGCCGGTGCTGTGACCACGGATGCTATTGGCATGTACCTGTCCTATCTCGTCGCGATCGGATTCCTGCCTCCCCCGCCCGCGGCCGGACAACGTGCACTGCCCAAGTGTGAGATTGCCGCTGAGAGGTTGGCGGCCCTGACCGGAAGCGGTCGTGGTGTCAAGGCCACGTAGTCTGGGTTTTGGATTCTAGAGAATACGGATTTGGTGAAAATTTAAAGCGGTGGTAGATTACTAGATGATTTAGCAGACGATGTACGACACAATGAAAAGCTCAACATTCAACCGAAATATATGCAGAACTGTACAAGGTGGCACATTGCTTCTGACAAGGACTTATTTTGACGATCACATAGACCACCAGAACGAATTCTTTGACCATTCAAAAGGATGTCGTGAGATTCGAGATGCCATTTGAATTCACAGGTTTCTTTCTAGTGGACTGAAGACGACCGCAGCTTAAAGAGGTTAATGACAGCAACAAATTGCTAGGCAACAGCTCCTTCCCTCAACGAAACCTCTGCTCCTCTTTATCTGGCCAGCACTTTCACGATCTTGCAGTATTCAACTCCAACAAATATTTTTCCCTTTCCCTGAAAACCTACAATACTAGGACAAGTACCACGCTTCAGCCTCATTGTCTATCACTACCCCACTCGTGTCCTTCCGATTCAAGCGCACAGCAAGACTGCACATCAGGAGTTTACTCACTCTAACACACAAGGCTGCTCTCTTAACCTTGACTTACCTGTTGACAACACCATGGACGCCCTTGCCAGCAGCATCATCTACCCGAAGGCTACCAAGTTCCGTGCCGATTCCAAGTCAGCCAAAGTGGCCAAAAAGGCCAAGAAGCCCAAGGCGCCCAAGGAGAAGAAGGAAACATCCCGCAAGCGTGTCACACTGAAGAAGAAAGTCCCCGAAGAGGGACCCAAGGTATGCCTCCCCTTGCCGCCACGTCCTCGTGAGTCGAGAATGAATCTGAATCCCACGAATCAGTTCGAGAACCCCAACGCCGGCACGGTCGTCTACGAACTCGCAAAGAACGCGCTGGGGCCCCCGTCCCCGCCTCACGACGAAGACATACCCCTCGAAGACCTCCTGCCGCCGGACGAGGTGCGCATCCGCGCACCCCACGACGCCGCCGTCTCGGTCCTCGACACGCCCCTCGTCAACGCCAGCGTCAGCAAGGGGGTTTTCACCTTGCGCGTCAAGAAAGGCAAGGTCGGTGGCGCGGGCCACAACGAGTTCCTCGAGCGACTGGTGCGCACCACGACGGAAGGGGAGTTTCACGCGGCCCTGTCGGACAGTGTCCAGGGAGCGGCCAGGGTGTGCAAGGCTGACAGGGACGCTGCGAAGGCGGCTCCGAGGCTCGCGAGGCAGAAGCGGAGGGTTGAGAGGGCGAAAAGGGCGTTGGAGAGGCTTGCGGAGCTGAACATGGAACAAAGTGAGCTGTGGATCAAGAGAGAGGAAGAGGAGTACGAGGGCGGCGACGAGGACGAAGTGCAATCTTGTGAGGATTCCGAGACTGGGCAGGAGCTCGAGGTCGTGGAGTAACTCTCGGGGGTGTCACGAGGAGCTTGGATCATCGGGGCAAGGCTCAATCTGCTCCTGAAGGCCTACAGGATTTTCATCTGGTTGGCACACGTAGCGCTCTATTACTTTGGTCATTGAGGCCTTCAAAAGTAGGCCAGAAGCTTCATTCCAGTCAAAACTTATGTGGCGGCATCTTGACAGAGAGGTGGGTTTCCATACCAAATCTGACAGGACTGCTGACGAGTGTCAGAACCCCAAGTGCCGTCATCTTGTAATTGGTGTCAGCCTCATTGGTTAATTTCAACCAGGGAAACAAGGGAGGTGTTTAATGATCATTTCGACCCGACGTGCAATTTTTGACATGTCGTTTAGTTGGGCGTGGTAGCTTGGGCGATCGCCACAATGTTGCTGCCTCGGGATCTGGGTTTCGGTGGTGTGGAGAGGTATTGCCTCAATGACCGGACAGCCTGACTGAAAACAATCCCTGGACAGAACCTATGCAGTTGTAATGCATGAAGGTGGCAACCATGAATAGCGAAGTGGGCTTGCCAGTGTAAAGGATGAGGTGCTCTGTCGCCCGCCTCGCTTTAATATCTTTCAGATTTCGGAGCCTATGCTGCATTGCTCTCTAATGAGCCCCTTTCCCGGCTGCCAGCGTTGCAAGTGATAGCTGGTAGCTCATCACGAGGCTTCATGTCGTTGTCTTGTGTTACCTACAAGCTTTTAAGCCTCCGTCGTGTTCAATTCCCATTCGCCATGGCAAGTGTGCAACTCCGTCTTAAAAGTGACAGAACCAATGAAGCGGATTCAGTCACAAATCAAATCATATGCTTCAGTCATCATCACGTAGCCTGGTCATTCGGCAGCACTTTGAAGTAGCTCAGGCTCCAATTTGGGAAGAACAGGAGCAAAGGTTGTTTGTGTCAGATAGAGTAGTAGGAACAATCGTGAGAAGGTTGGGTGCCTCACTCGGACAACAAGGCGCAGGATTGTGAGTATGCAGTATCATTCTCCGGGATTTGACAGCTTATAAATTGTCAGAAGCATGGTAAAAGAACCTTTGCGACGAGTGTGGCGTATTCTGTCTTACTTCCACTCAGTGGCATAGATACTATGCGTTGTACAGACATGTGGTTTCGTAGACCAGCATGTCTATGCACCCAGAACCAAATAGTGCCAGTGCGGCCTAAACTGATGGCGTCACAAGTCTGCAATGGCCTGACACGTCACTTACTCGCATACCGCGTTCAAGGAGAACAGAAACATCGACAAATTAGCCGGTGTTATCGTGCAACCAGCTTTTGAGATGGAAGGGTTGCATGAAGCAGGCTGGGCTCTTTCTGCCAAGTCACCGTCGTCTCTCAACCAGCCATGTCCGAAACCGTGCCGCGATTCGTTGATATATTTCGAATGTAATTCCAACATGTGAAAACTGCTGTTTTGCACTTGGGAGCTGGTTCTTTCTCAGTTATGCAACAGGATGACACTCTAAGTGCCGGTCACGCTGGCCGCAATTTGGTGATGCCCATCCTCAGACGAAGCTTTCTAGGCGAAGAATTCGGGATATATATAAGAGGCACAGCGAGCAAGGTTCCCATAACAAAAATCCCCAAAGCAGTCTCTTCATCCACATCGGCCGACCATCAAGCTTCAGAGCGAACATTCCAGAAACTATACTCTCACTACGCCTCCACGTCTACTAAAATGAACACCGGGGACGTCTGTGATCCCCCCCCCCCCACGTGGAGCAAGCGAAGAGAAGATGACAATGCTGACCCCCAAGTTTATTAGTGTTTCGTGGGCCAGACTGTCCGCTGCGCCGGGGTAGCAGGGATTTGCACCATTATTAAAATTGAACAGGGAACTGGCCTTGTTGTCATCAGGGCCCAGGCAAGTGGCCAAGAAATGGAGGTCAGGGCGGACCAGCTGACCCCTGCCTGATGACGGCGTCGCATGGGCTGTGAAATCGGCAGGGACATGATGGAGCCGGTTGTTCTTCAGCAGGAAAGATATGTGAGGGAGCAGATATTTTAGTCTAGTCTTTACGTCTGAGGTTATTGTATTGCAATTCAACATTCGTTTCGCGTACTGCTGTCCGAAAAGGATCCGGAGCTTCAAGCCATCAAACGCCAAGGCCCCGCAAATCACCCACATGTTGCCGACAGATAATTGATTCCTTCGCTACCTCTCTTTTGTGGTTGCAAGTTAAGTTCCCTAACGCCATGCCCAGATGTAACCACGCGCCTTCTTGACGCTGAAACCAACCTTGCCTGCCAAGCCATGTGTTATTGTCCCCCGTTCATATACCATGTGTCGTCAAACGTCCAATTGCCTGCCAAAGGGCCATTTCCATATCCATCGCCTTACAGTGTCAACCCCGTCAAAACAGGACCAAGAGTTTCTGGGGCCAAGCGGACCCCCTCAAACTCCTGATCCAGTACCTCGCGCACCTTGCCCAGCTTGACGGGCTTCGTCAAAAACATGTCCGAGCCGCTCGCAACAGCCTCCTTGCGATCCGACGCGCTGCTCAATCCGGTGAGGACGACAATCTTGCACCTCGCCGCACCGGCCCTGCCCTCGAGGCGGCGTATCTCCCTCGTCGCCTCAAAGCCGTTCATGACGGGCATGGAGATGTCCATGAAGACAAGGTCAAACGGCCGTCCTTCGACCAGTGACTTTTCGTATAGCTCCACAGCCTCAAGCCCGTTGCTGGCCGTCGAAAAGGTGTGGTTCATCTTGCGTACGACGGTTGTGAGGAGCTTAATGTTGATAGGGTTGTCGTCGACGAGGAGTAAGTGTAGCGGCTTCTGCTTCGTTTCACTGGTCGCTGGACTTGCTGTGTTGAGTGTGGTGCCATTTGCGGGGGGCGCACCATGCTGGTTGGCCGTCTGCAGGATAGCAATGTCTTTCGGGAGGGACTGGGTCTCTTCAACAGAATGGAGAGCAGCGTGCGGCTCAGAAGTGCTTGGGATGACTTCTGGTAATGATGGAGCAGAAATGCACCCCGATAGGGGGCTCTTGTTAGCTACTGTGAGCGCCGCTTGAATCACTGATGCCAGCTTTCTCGGGCCGAGTGGAAGGTGCAAATGGGCGCAGCTCTGCTTCTTTCCTGCATGCGTCCTCGAGCACGACGTCGACCCTACTCCCGGGCAGAGAACGGCCAAAGGAGTAACCTTGGAATTTGTCGCTGATAAGAACGCAGAAAGGCTGCTGGGAGCGCCAGTCGTGTCATCGTCCAAAAAGTACACATCTGCCTCCGGGACCGGATCATCAGCCGTCGCAAGGATAACATTCATTCCCAAGTGGCCGCCGGCGTTACTTCGAAGGGCTCGTTCGACAGCAGCCGATCGATTTCGCGTTTCGGCGGTGATCGCAAAAGTCGAATTCAGCACGGATGCAAACGATTTTGGTGTGATGAGACAGATTGTCCGCCCAGAAAGCTGATGGTATTTGTGTAGCCGTGTAGGGCTTGGACATTGTGTGTGGCGAGTGAAGATACCGGAGTGGATTCGTCCTCCTCCTGGAGAGGCACAAGGACTTCCACCAGGGTCCCCACGCCTATGGAGCTCTTGACGTTGACGGTACCCCCAAGTCCTCTGGCCAGCTGCTGCACGATGCTCAGTCCTAACCCCATGCCGGCGGCGTGGGTGTTTTCCTGCGAGAAGGGCGTGAAGAGCTGGTATTTGAGGTAATCGGAGCTGATACCGAGGCCAGTGTCTTCGACGGAAAAGATGATATAGTCGCGCAGCCTGCCGTGGCTGTCTGGCTTTCGTGTCTTCTGAAGGCTCACCTCAATGCGGCCAGCAGGTGTATACTTCATGGCGTTTCCGAAGACGTTCATGATGATACGTTTCCAGGCCCCGATATCGGTGCGCATCTTCCAGGCGGTCTTCTCCTGGATGTTCAGTGAGACGAGCAGTGGGCGCGCTTGAGAGCCCTCCTCCGTCTTGGGACTATCGGCAGAATGTTCGTCCTTCGAGTGAGCTGATGGGCGGAAGGCATTCTCATATCCATGGCTGACGTGGACAGCCTCGACAACATCCTCGACCGTTTCCCCGAGATCGGCGATTCGCAGCTCGGTCGCAGGGGTGTGGGGATTTTTCCCGGCGTTGATGGCGATGGCGTGGTGGAGCAGGTGGTTGAAGGTGTCCAGCAGCGTGTTGCCACAGGAATCGAGCATGTCCAGGGCCGGCTTGAGCGAAGGGTCCGAGATGCCTTCACGGAGCAGTTCGCTGCTGGCCAAGACGCCGTGTAAGGGACTTCGCAGTTCATGACTGATGGATGAGACAAAGTTAGACTTGGCGCGGCTCGCCGCCAGGGCCTCCCATCGTGACACCTCGGCCATGACGGAGTTGCCAAAGGCAGACACAAGACTGATGTCGGCAACCTCGATGGCGCGCGTCGGATCCGCAACCCAGCCGAGTGCGGCGGTGTACCAGCACTCACGCTGAAAGTGCCACAGCGGGAGAAAGATGATGTACTTGGCCGCAGGAAGAGCGCTGAAGAGCCTGGACACGTCGTCTGTGAGGCCGATGCTGTCTGCGCTCGGCCTGCGGCCGGATGGGCACCGCTTGCCAGGTCCATAGTGCTCGTCAATGGGTCCGAACTCGTCTGCCGAGAAGACGTGGCCGCGTGGATGTCTCCTGATGAGCCTCTGGAGGGTCGCCTCTGGTAGCCCAGGTGGAGGCGACTGCAGAGTGTTGTCTTCTCGCTGATCGACAGTCGCCTGAGCCACGACAGCGCAATATGGCCCTTCCGCCTCACTGTGAGGCCCGTGGCCGTTGCTGTTGCGATCGCGATCCAAAGAGTCTGAGGTGTCTACGTATACGCTTGGGGCGGCATCCAGAAACATAAAGCCGTCCATGTTCATAGCCTGTCGCATCATGGATGCAGCGCGGAAAAATGTGGAACGCAAGTTCGCGGAGCCGCTGAAGCCAACGTCGCGTGATCCAAGCACATCACTGGCCGAGGAGGGCAGATGTTGACCTGGAGAGTTCTTGCCGTCCGCATTGCTGACCTTTTGCTCGAGCAGGGTCTCGCCTGGACCGTCGGGTGGTGCCGTCAACGGTATCCCCGACGAGGGCACCGAGGACAGGAATGATGCGTCGGGGGTTGCGAACGAGGACGCCGGCGATGCCGAAGACAGATTCGCTGCGGAAAACGTGTCCGTCTTATCGGTTTGGACCGAGTCGAAGGAAGGATATTTTGACTGTGGCGAGAGCTTAGGGGGGTGCGGTGTCGGGTCAGGTTTGCAGCCGACAAAGGCACTCAGACTGCCGATGAGCTGCTCGGCGCGGTGGCGCATCTGTTCCGTCTTTTTCAACTCGAGATAGGACATGATGGCCGAGGCGATTTCGTTCATGATGGCAATGGTGGGCTCATGGTTGAAGTGGCGAGGCTTGTTGTCGACGACGCAGTAGCTGCCGAGCAGGTAGCCCAGGGGTGACACGAGGGGCACCTCGAGATAGGACACCATGTATGGGTAACCGCAGACATAGGGTCTCTCGACGAAATGGGGATCAACGCGAAAGTCGTTCACGATGAACCGCGTCCTGTTGGCAATGATGTTGGGGCCCGTCTGCGCCCACTCGCCCGTCTCGTCCATGAAGGCGAACATGGCCGCCGGACAGACGCCCCAGCGGGTCTCCAGCTTGGAGACGCCGAGAAACACGTGGTCATTCTCGGCAGATTGGTTCTTGGTGATAGAGTGCGACCTCGTCATTTCAGCGGCGAGGAAGTGGTTTTCGCGGTCGATGAGGGAGAGGAAGGATCTGTCACAGTCGAGCCGGGATGTGCCCGACTGGACAAGGGCGTTGAGAGTAGGGTCTGCATTGATGAACGGGGTTTCTGGGGGACCATTTGGTACTCCTGCCGGATAGGAAGCTGCCGAGAGATAGCTAGAAGAGGAGAAGGGTGTTAGCAAGGAAAATGGCAGCGGTGCGAACAGCAACTTGGGGATTCAGACTCACGCTGCGATTTCCCGCTGGCGTGCCCGCTCCGAGTTCTCGACGGGAAGGGAGGCGTCGTCGTCGAGTGCCATGGTCATGACGGGTTGGAGGGTCTATCACGACACTGGGCACTAGATCGTGCCAGCGCGTGCGATGGTGACCGCGGTTGTCTTTTCTTGGTGGTTTGGGTTGGTGTCTGCAACATTTGGCAGCCAACAAGTTCCCTCGGATGATCACTACCAAGGCAGGACGAACGCTGTGCCGCTGTGCCACTGTGCCACTGTGCCACTGTGCCACTGTGCCGCTGTGCCGCTGTGCCGCTGCCTGCAGGCGACGAGAACGTGGCGCGGGGAACCCAGGCACGTGGGCCTGAACCAGAGCCTGGGCCCAGACAGAGCCTGGGCCTGGACAGCGCCTGGGCCTAGGCCCCTCTAGCGGTTGGCTGCGCTGGCTGCTGGGCACGGGCGCCCTGGAGGACGAGCGGGTCGCTGTGAAGTGGCTGATGACGTATGAGTTCCAGGTCGGCGGCGCACCCTGAGAAATGAGATTTAGGGGATCTCAAGTACCTTACCTTATACATACCTACCTTACCTAGGTATCTAGGTACCTGCCTGCTGCTGACTAATGAACAGCACAACGATCACCAAATCGAGAGATGCACTATCGTCAGTCTGGAATTCCTTCCTTCATCTACCGCTTCTATTAGTCCATCTTTGAGCAAAGAACCGCACGAACACAAATACAACTGCATCATCTCTATCTTTCGATCATCCCCAGACTCACACAAACGATGCTGAAATCACGATCATCCTACCTGCCGACAGCACCCTTCCCTCCCTAGGCATTCTGGTCGACACGGATCAAGCAAGAGCCCATGCCAGTCACCTTGGTCCACTGCTCGTGCGGCTCTCTGATGTTGTCGAGGTCCCAGATCTTCTTGATCGGCACTTTGAACTTGCCTTCGGCCAGCAGCTGCAAGACGGCCTGCAGATCCGGCACGTACGTGTCGCGGGTGCGGTCGATGTAGTAGAACCCCGCGCTGCGCTTTCGTCCGCAGACACCCGTTCTTGGCCAGGAGCTTGAGCGTCCCCGGTAGCTGCGACCTCGGCTTGGCGCTGCCGGCCTGTACGGCGTTGAGGTTGCCGCCGAAACCGACGAGGCGACTGGGCTCGTCGCGCACGAGAATCTCCCACGACTCGTCATAGCTCTCGAAGCCGAGCGCGTCGTACACGACGTGTGCGCCGCCGCGCCCCCGCATCTCGCCCATCCACGCCTTGTCCGTGTACACGAACGGCATGACACCCAGGCGGCGCAGCGCCTCGTGGTTGCGCAGTGACGCCGTGCCGTAGACGTCGCCCCTCGAGCAGGCAGAGCGTCAGGGTGGCATAGCCCACGGCGCCGCTGAGGCCGTGGATGAATATGCGCTTGCCCTGGCCCACGAGCGTCGTGGCCCGGTGCACGAGACCGTACGCCGTGTTCCAGTCGAGCACGGCCGCGAGCGCCGAGCGCGTGTCGACGCTCGGGGGCACGGCGACGAGATACTTTTCCTCGATGTTGATCTTGTCTGCCTCCGACTCGTCCACTGTCACGGCGCCCACGAGGTCGCCCTGGTCGGAATTTGTTCGACTTTCGACCGTTGACGGCGACGCGGCCAACGAAGCAGTACCCCGGATATAGGGGCGCCGTCTTCTGCTGCGGGTACATGCCCAGACGCATGTTGATGTCGGCGCCGGAGAAGCCTGAGTAGATGACGTCGACCTGCACCTCGTTCTTCCCGGGAGCGTCGATCGTCTCGGTGACGATCTTGGCATGGGAGGCATCCCCAAACCCCGAGATGAGTGCCCTGCGAATGGGAGTCATGTCTCGTCTTGTGTGACTGTGTGTGCTATTGTGAGTGAACGATGTTGTTTGACTGTGTGAGTTGTATTGGTAGTTGTCTGATATCGTTGGCTCAGTGAGCCAAGTGGTTGTGAGATTGGGAATTGTCTGAAAGCTATTGCTTCGAATAGAGGAAGACTAAACAGACACCTTGGCATTGACTTATATACTTCTGCCTACTCATATCAAGCACAGCAAGCTCTCACACCATATGCAGCCACAAATCGGCAGGATTGCAGTATGCGAGGTTCGGACGTTGCGTTGCGCCGTTGCGAACTCGTTTCGAGCACAGCATCATCGATCACGACCTGCAACCACCAAAAGGCAGCTTCGCGACTCGCGGTTCGGGCGTTGCGTTACGGCGAACTGTTATCGCCAGCAATACAGATCAGTCGTGGTCCCTTGCACATTCGAAATCCGGCTTCACACGTTCACTCGTCTGGCGGTTCACAGTCGGCGGAGCGCCGTACTCGGACATCTGCTCATCGTGTTCGCGCCCAATCTCGTGCCTAGGAACCCCGCGAGAAACGCGCGAGACAGGGGCGAGCAGTGTCGATCGCTGGCGCTTCATCAGCTTCTGCGAGCCACTGCCCCATTTCGAACGTCCAGACCAGTGTCTCGATTACAGTGTACGCGGAATCAGACAGCCACGGCTTACTGCTGTCGCGCCGGTGTATGGGTAGACGTCGATTTTGTCTTTCGATGGGTAGCTAGGGTTTCTTTCAATTTTGCCTTGCCCAAGGTGATCGCATGGCGGTCTGGCCAGTTCAGGCAACAGATAATTTGGGCTGGATTTTCGAGCAAGTTCTGCTGTCATATTGCAACAGGCTGAGATATCTGACGTATCGGCATCATGTACATGGCATGGAACAGCCGCCAATACAGGACACCTTCAGAGTCAACCTGTCGATACAAGCGCGGCGCGAAGCAGCATGCGCGCGGTTGTGATTACGAGTAAACTCGCGACGCTTGGTCCCTGCCAACAGCAGCACACCAGAGAACGTCAGTCAAGTCGGCTGACAAGCTTCACTGCAACTCCAGCGCAGAGAAACGATCGGAGAGAATTCCGGCGTCACGATACCAAGCCCGGAAAACGGAAAAGATCGGGGACGCTGAGACAGGCCAGGAACCGTGTCATCTGTCGATACCGGCTACGCACATGTGGCATCTTCTGACGATGCCGCTTTTGTTGCGGGTGCGCACGCAGCACGCAGCACGCAGCGGCAGCCCAGGGAGCGACCCGAATCTCAACCCACCGGACCGGTTCAGACCACGGACGGCAGACGGGGGTTGGAAACTCAGAGGTCCCTGGGCGAGCGGGACCCTATCTAGCCGGTCAAATCTCGTCTCCATGACCAGTTGCCCGCCGTCTGCGGTCTGTGGGAGCTAACAGGCCAGTTGAGCTATCTGAGGTGGTCTCAGCTTGACCGACGGCGCTCTGCGTCAGCTGGTAAAACGCGCCGCTGGGGACATGGTGGGCGCAGCCCAGGTTTTTCCTGTCCTTCGTGGTTTTGGTCGCTGAGGAACATGCTGGCGGGCGGGCGCGTGGCCATATGGGCCATGACTCGGTACTCACAGTAGCCGCCGCCTGGTCAGCCCTCCCAGCCAGAATAGCTAGATACATGTAGAACAGGGAGGGCGATTGATGGGATGGATTGGAGCCGGTATCTCCGAAAAGGTGGCCTGGCTGCCAGGAAGATATGCATGCCAGACCTGTCACCGACCGGCATCTAGGGGTGCGGGCCATACACGAGCTGGCGGTCCATTCGGCGTCGAACGATGGATCTTGCCCTTGAGTTACATTGATGCGCTACGCTGGCCTGGGGACATGAGTCGCCGCTGAAGCGAGGTTCCTCACATTACGACCAAGTCCGTCACAGTCCCCATCCAAGGCCCCTAGTTCCCCAATGCGCTTGCTTGGCTGGTCAACTGGAGCCCCCGAGAAGCCAGAAGGGGACTCGCCAGGCCCATCTCCCCGCGCGGGGTTCGGCAGGTTTGTCAAGCTTTCGCTCGCAATTGATGGGGAACCTTGTCATGGTTTTGGTCACGTTTGGAAGGGCTCTGGAAGACCAAAGTGCCAGCTCCAGCGGCCCGTCGTCTTGGAGGTGGCGTTGAGGTTATCGAGTTTGTGATCGGCCTCTCGGAAGATTGATAGGCTGGCACAACAGGGAAGAGATAACACAGACGACAGGCAGAGTGACCTCATATGATCTACATCATATCATCTACACGGCAGTCCAGCAGCAGGCCACGGATATGAGCGTGATTAATCGACTGCAGTCACATATCCAGGGGACGATAGATAGCAAGCACGTTACCCCAGAGAACCGCGGACACTCAGACACATTGGGTCGGTCTTATCTCTCGTCTGACGAAACCACCATACCAAAGAAGGGCCCAGCGACCGTGCCGCGACTCAAGACAGGGCGAGATCCCAGTGCCCCCCCCCCTTATGTCCGTATGTCCCGCCAAACTGCACCGGCCCGGCCTCGATACGCACCGGACCGGCACTTGGGCTCGCGCTTGGGTGGTTCTCGACCCTTGCCGACGCCAACCCGCTAGCCATTCTGTGTCTGGCGTGGCAGTCTACCCCAGTTTTGAGCCTCTCTATTGTAACCCCAAGTCTCTCACGATAGGGCCCCAAGCTTGTATCAACTACCATCTCCGGTCCCCACCACTAGCATCATGGCAGGGAGTACTAATAACTCGAGATCGCCACGTCCTCTGATGGCTCTCTCCTCTCTCCCCTATCCTCTCCCAGCTTCCTTTGCTTCACGTCCCATCGCCGAGGCATAGCTGAGTCGACCACCCCATTCAGACTTGTACTCGCCAAACCCTGTCTCTCTATTGTCATCGCTCAGCCCTCGGACTCCCACACCCACGAGCGAATCATGAAGACTGAAGACGGCATCAACGCCGTAGAGAGCCGTGTTGACGGCTCTCAGGTGGACGTTGACCTCAAGAATGACAGCTCCGACGGCATGGCAGCCAAGTACGGCGAGACACATCGCGGCCTCAAGCCCCGGCACGTCCACCTCATGGCCATTGGTGGCTCCATCGGCGTCGGTCTTTGGGTCGGCATTGGCAGCGTCCTCAGCAAGGCCGGCCCCCTTTCGCTGATCCTGGGCTACGCCTTCTGGGGTTGCTTCTTCATCTGGCCTCTGTACCTCTGCGTCGCCGAAATGTGCGCCTACCTGCCTGTTCGCGGGTCCATCTTCACCCTCGCCGCCCGCTTCGTTGATCCAGCCGTTGGCTTCGCCATGGGATGGACGTACTTTTTCGCCAGTACCATGCTCGTGTGCGTAGAGTACAGCGCCGTCGCCACCGTCATGCAGTACTGGGACCGCGACACGAATCCGGCCGCCTGGATCGCCATGGCCATGGTCGTCTGCTTCCTCCTCAACGTCGTCGCCGTGCGCTGGTTCGGCGAGTCCGAGTTCATCATGGCCTCGACCAAGGTCCTGCTGCTGCTCGGTCTCGTCCTCATCACGCTCATCACCATGTCGGGCGGCAACCCCCAGGGTGACGCCTACGGCTTCCGCAACTGGGGCGCCGGCGCCATGCACTCGTACTACGCCGAGGGCGGCACCGGCCGTCTGCTCGGCTGGTGGTCCGTCGTCATCTACGCCGGCTTCACCATTGCCGGCCCCGACATGATCGCCCTCGCGGCCGGAGAGATCCAGAACCCGCGCCGCACCATTCCCCGCGTCGCCCAGCTCATCTTTTACCGCATCGTCGGTTTCTACGTCGTCGGTGTCCTGGCTGTTGGTATCATCTGCTCCTCGCGCGACCCTCGCCTGGTCGGTGCCATCAAGAACGGCGAGCCCGGCGCTGCCGCCAGTCCTTGGGTCATTGGCATCGAGAACCTCGGCATCGGCTTCCTGCCACACCTGATCAACGCCCTGATCATGCTTTCCGGATGGTGAGTGAAGCCGGCACAGCAGTTCATCAGCCTCACGTCGGCCGTGCTAACCAGCGTTCAGGTCTTGCGGCAACGCCTACCTCTACTCTTCCTCCCGCACCCTCTACGGTCTCGCTCGCTGTACGTTGTCCTCCTCCTCATACCGTCTCGGTGTCCTCTCCGAAACGCCAAACTGACAGCTTCTCTTTCCTCTTCACAGCCGGCCAAGCCCCCGCCATCCTCCTCAAGTGCACCAAAGCAGGCGTGCCCATCTACTGCGTCCTCGTCGTCTCAGCCATCACGTGCATCACCTTCCTCGTGTCCTCCAACTCGGCCGTCGAGGTCTTCTTCTGGTTCGTCGACCTGACGACGACGGCCCTCATCGCCACGTACACCTTCATGCTCGTCACGTACCTGGGCTTCTACCGCGCCCGCAAGGCCCAGGGCCTCGCGGACCAGTACCTCCCCTACGTCGCGCCCCTGACGCCCTACGCGCCCGTCGTGTCGCTCCTCTGCGGCTGCACGGCGCTCGTCTTTGTCGGCTTCGACGTCTTCTCGCCCTTTAGCATCCGCGGCTTCGTCACGTCCTACTTTGCCCTGTTGTGGGCGGCCGTCATGTTCGGCGTCGGCCGCTTCCTCGTGTGGAAGCGCGGCGGCAAGATGGGCTTCATCGCGGCCAAGGACGCCGACCTCGTCAGCGGCAAGGACGAGATTGACGAGGAGTGCCGCCACTGGGAGGAGGGCGGTATCGAGGAGGTCGAGAAGGCCAGGCTTGCCGAGATGAGCGTTGGCAGGCGGACTTGGGAGAGGATGTGGTAGAGCGTTTTTTTCTTTTTTTTTTTTTTTTTGGAGGGGGGGGGGGGTTCTTTTGATTTTGGGAGAGCGCGGTCCGTAGAGGTTAGACCAATGTTATCTGGCTTGCAGAGTGTTAGCAATGACGAATTTGTACTTACGGCTTGCTTGTGCTCGGGACTTAAGAATAGAGGACGAGGTTGTACATTGCCTTCTTGGTGGTAGTACGAAAACGTGACAGTCACCATGACATTATCACTGAGTCTCCCAGGTATCAAACATGATGTACAATAAAACTAGACTCCAGATATCGAGCATCTTCAGCTGCACCATAAATAGACCTCATAAGCTCATCCCAGAAACGCCACCGAACACAAAGATGCAACACACGGCATGATCCAGACCTGGAACCCAATCATTAAGCCCCCCAGCCGTTCGACCTCGACCCTGCCGGTCCCATGTTCTCCAAATCCAGACCGTACCCGTACCCGAGCACGGCCGACAGTCCCTCCAGCATCGGCACCGACCCAAAGTGCTCGTCCATGCCGAACATGGGCCCCGCCCCAGGCGGCATCATCATGGGCCCCGGGGCCTTGACATCATCCCCCCAGTCCGTGCCATCACCCCCCATCGGCGACACGTCCATGGCCGCGGCGCCGGGATCGAATCCCGATGGCCCAGCAGCCGCCGCACCGGGCTCCATACGCCCCGACGCTGCCGCAGCAGCGTCCGTCTGCCAGAGCATCTCCCACCTCTTGAACATTTCATAGTCTGTCTCGCGCCAGCCGGCGCCGCCGCCGCCGGGAAACCGCCCGTCAGCTTCATCCTCCTCGGCACCGAGCCGCGCAATGGCGTGCTCAAAGGCCTCAATGAGGCTGGCGTCGAAGCGCGCCGACGCGCCCCACGTCGACATGTCCTTGAGCATGGCCATGCCGTCGCCGAGCGCGGCGCGCAGCCGCTCGGTGCGGTTGGCGCCGCGGTGCTCGAGGCACTGCGTCAGCAGCACGAGCAGGCCGACGCGCAGCGCACTAAACTCGGTGTACGAGGCGCGCGCGAGGCCGATGGTGCCGCGCAGGAGGCGGCACGTGTCGACTATGTCGAGTGCAGCGTCGACGCAATCGGCCACGAGCGCGGCGCGGCGCTGCGCATTGCGCGACGGCCCGCTGTTGCGGTGCGCTGCCGAGCCGGAGCCTGCTGTGCCGGGGGCGTCTGTCGCTGTGGAGGAGCCGGGGCTTGCGTTGATGGCGAGAGGCCCGCGGGGCGTGATGAAGAGGCGGCCGGCGTACATGCGCACGTGGCAGTACTCAAGGCGCAGGTGGATAGCGGCGCGCGATACGGGGGCCGTCGGGTCGCGGTCGGCGTCTTTGCAGAACGGCCCGGAGGGTAGAGAGCGCCACCAGCTTTGCAGCTCATCCTTTATGTCGACGAGGCGGGCGAGGGCTGTGAAGATGGCTTGCTTGTCATAGGTTTTAAAGGTGGAACTGCGACCCGTCAGTTTCGTTCATTGCCGTTAGGGCACAAGTCACTTACATCTCATGGGCTATCCTCGCGAGCTCGCGGTTGAGGTGCAGCGTTGCGAGGAGGTAGATGGTGTTCTGGGGGCCAGGGCCCGGCCAGATTTCAGGGCGGTCGACGGGAAGTTCTGCGTCGATATCGCTCATGGCAATGGAGATGGGTCGGCCATGGAAGGTGCCGATGCGCCTAGAAGTACTCTGTTAGCTAGGCTGCATCCCGAGATCATGGTGGTAGAAGTACATAGGGAGGTTGAGCACATACTTTTCGATGGTGCAGGCCGTCCACCAAACCCTGTTCCGCGTCTCGCGAACGACCTGGTCGAGGCCGTTGTTCGGATGTTTCCTGTGCATGCCGTTTTGGATCGCCAGCTTGACGGCTAGATTGAAGTAGGTATACGAAAGACCCGAAGGGTCCAGAGGCAGGGTATAGAGACCGATGAGCAAGATTGCCTGGACGCTCTCAAGCGACGCAATGGTGATGACATCGGGTACGAGGCGACAGGCCTGCTGGTACATCTTGACGCCAACCGAATCTTCCGAAAACGGGCTTGGGTCGTCAGTCTTGTCGTGGGGCGAATCGAGGTAGGCGTATTGGGTGCCAATGGCGAAGACGGTGAACATGATGCAGACAGTGGGCACGTCGCGGCGGGTGAGTGACGTGGGGTTCTCGTACACGGCGTCGAGACGTTTAACGAGCCATGTGCGGTCGACGTAAAAGTAGTTCGTCTCAGCGTAAGTAAAGAACGCACGCACAAGAAAATCGACAATGTAGCGCGGCGGCAGCGCCGAGAGGAGGACGGCTGTGTCGGACGACGACTGGAGCTCTTCTGCTCGGTAAAACTCCTTGATCTTGGGAGCATCGGGGGCGTCCTGATTCAAGTCTGTCAGATCCAACGAGAGCTGTGTGATGGGCGGCCAAGCACAGGGTGGTGGGAGACCAAGCACAGCACTCGACATACCGTCCGATAGGGCCCGCACTTCTCGATCCAATTCTTGATCCTCATGGAAAAATTCCAATGTGAGAATTCGCCAGAGTAGTCTACTCCTGTTAGCATGATTCATCTCGCCAGCACCACGGAACGTGGGATGGCACGTACGCGTGACATTGTTCTCCAATGGCTGAACCGTGATATCATCGTCGACCTTGATATACTCGGAAGCATTGGAATCCGTCTCGACGTCCCCCTCCCTGCTGCCCTGTGCACCACCACCACCACCACCACCACCATCCTCGCGCCTCTCACGCGAACTAAGTCGTCTCCTCTCAAGCGCCTTCCCTGTCGTGCCCAGTGCTGGCGGCGGGCCGTGGCCTGGCCCGCTGCGTTCCTGGTCGAGCGAGTCGGCGAGCCCCTGCAGCGTCTGCGCGTCGAGGCTGATGTTGCCGACAAAGTGGACAAGCAGCCGCTCCATGTTGGAGGCGCGCTGGCGCAGCTCTGCATCACCCTGCTCTGGGGATGATGCGTGGCGGGACGCCGCCACGCTAGGGGTCTGTCAGCTTAGTGTCTTTACAGGCCAATATGGCTGGTGGAAGATGATGAGTATCAAGGGTGGTAGGGTGAAATATGTAAGAGTTGAGATGGGTAAGCTCAGACACAGAGCACGAGGCGAGCATCAAGAGATAGGGTCAAGAGCAAGACGACAGAAAAAGAGTACGCACCGTCCAGGGCTTCCCCTTCGTGCCGAAAAGGCCGGCTTCGAAAACTCACACTGCCGCTGAAAATGCGTGCACCGCCGGCATGGCACGCCGCCCTCACACTTTTCCTTCATGCGGCGACACCCATCGCATCTATGACACGGAGATTTTGTCAGCAGCGGTTCGGAGTTTCACGCGGACGGTACTCCATCAAAAAAACCAAGCACCCCATCCCTGTGAGGCCCCCTCCGGAGGGGAACCGGGGGACGTTGAGGCTCCACCGGCAACGGCACACCGAAAGGAGGGGGGGATGAGATAGAAAGACGGAGAGAGGAGAAAAGCAAAACGCACGCTCTCGCCGACCGCTGTCGGTTGCCATCCGCTACCCTGCGCGGCCTCGTCTTGGTCTTTTTCGGCCGGAGCCCTTCGTCATCTTGCGCCGGTGTTGGGGCGGCCGGGAGCGGTTGTTGCTGTGGTGGTGGCAGCGGTGGATGTGGGTGCCGTTGCGGCTGCTGCTGCTGCTGCTGCATGGCATGCGCCGGCTGCGCAGCCTCCGTCGATTGCGCCAGGGGCTGCTTGGGTGAGAACATGGCAGCCCGGATGTGTGTGTGTGTGTGTGTGTGTGTGTGTGTGTGTCCCCCGTGTGCCTGTGCCTGTACCTCTGTGGATTGCGATGGAGCAGAGGGAGAGCTGTAATGCGCGCTCACAACCGACAACGCCGGGCCGGTCGCAGCAGGAACAAAAGCTGGTGCGGGGGGCAGAGACAGAGGAGGGGAGAGAGAGAGAAGATAGGCAAGGGGGCCAGGAGATTTGTTCTCGAAGCAGGTTGAGCACCCGATCGACAGCGTATGAGGGCGACGAACCCCCTCTTCTTTTTCCCAGCCTCTGATCTAGCGCTGGTCCGGCTGGTCCACCTTAGGTCATTGACGAGACGATACGCCGTACTCGGGAGAGGGCGCGCAGCTTCGGAACGCGGGGAAACCCTGCTGAACCAGTAGTTCCCAGCTAACTGTTATCGCCGTCTTGAGGTGAGGATCCCCCCGATGGAAACACCCCAGGGCACATGGCACAGTTACTCCAAAACCACGCGAGTCAGTCTCGTTGCTCCAATCGAGCTGCAGATCACAAACCCACTGCGGACCGGGTGTGTGCTGCCGGGATCCTTATCTAGCAGCGAACAACGGGGTTCCATCCGAAACTTGGTCCTCTGGCTCCAGATCCTTATTAGCGTTCTCCATGACCAGCAGACCGATAACTGAATCACATACCTACCGATGGACCAAGAAGGTGAATAAAGTGCATGTTTCAATTGACCCCGGCCTCCGACGACCGCCCAGACAGGAATACCACCCAGACAAGAAGTGACAAACAAACCAGCAATTGACAATGACAAGGTTGAAAATGACAAACCAAAAACCCAAAACAACTCCGGCGCCCTTGTATAACTTGCGCTCCTTCAGGGTATCGAACCATCAAAACGCCCATATTCCAGCCGCATCGTATCCCGAACATAACAATGACAACAGGCCTGAGTCGAGGCTCAGCGATCGAGAGCATCTAGCGGCGGGCGCTGTGACTCCACGCCCGGTCAAAGGCCCTCAAGTTCTCTCTGGCATCGCGTTCGTGCAACCCGCTCGACGATATGCCGGTGACGTAGAAACTAGCACGAGTGTTCTGGTCTCGTCGCCACTGCTCAATGGCGTAGCTGTTGGAACCGTCGCGTCTGCCACCATTTGTTGTGGTGGCATTCGAGTAGTGCGATTCTCTAGGTGGCGAGGTCAGCTTCATAATCCTCATGTGGCAGTGAGCAAAACATACTGGTTGTGCGCGGAGTGAGGCATGTCGGCTGGTAAGGATGATACGAAAGCGTCAATGGCGGATAGGCTTCTTCTCGTTAAAATCGTGGATAAGTTGTGCTTGCAGTGAGACGGCACTGGGAGTTCTTTTCTCAACTAGACAATGGTGATGAAGCAATCCGTTGGTCAAGCAAGAGCAAGCGTCCATCCTTTATATAGACGAAGAGGGAACGAAGCACGCCTTGCATTCTGCGTTGTGGAGCGTATTTACCAGCGTCATTGTTCAGTCGTATCCCAGACATGGAAGTAGATAATAGGGTGAGCAGTGATCCGTCACTTGACGACAGCTTCCGTCTGTCACCGAAATGTATTCAGCGAACTACGCCATCCACGGCAACCCAGAACCAAAAGAGGGCGGACGGCACGCGGATAATGAGACCAATACCACAAAACTGCTGCGCAACTGGTGGGTGGCGACTCACGATCCCCTGATCGCGTATTGGCGAATGACAAAAAAAGCATGGGGGTGGGTGAGAGGAGGAAGAAAGTCATGCATGACACCAGCAAGGGCCTGGCAGGAAAGGGGAGCTCGTCCCGCAACGCGCCTCTACGGGCCTAGGAAAGCAGGGTTCTTTCTCCGCGAAAGAAGGCGGTCGTTGAAGGCGTCGGTGTGTTTGATATTTCGAGGCGTGGTTCGTGGGAAAGATGCCGTCTCCGGGGCCGGGTCAAGGATTGCTGTACGACATCGGTTGATGGCATGGGTTATTAGGCTAGTAGCGTGGGGTCAAGGATGGGCCCGGACGAAGTGTCAAAGGGTGGACAAAATTAAAATAAACAGGGCGGTTGACTGGGTGGTAAAGATTTGGCCTCAGTGCGTTGTCTCAGCGCGCGATGACCTGGCTTGGCCGGTGCCGCAATCTGGAAGAAGACGCGCCTATCGAGCCAGTGACCGCATATACCATGTATGTCGCGGTAAAAAATTTCGGTGACCATTCAACTTCGGTGACGTGGGGCCGATCTCGGCTGGTTTTCTTTGCTTTCTCGCACGAATGGCATGGTCGAGCAATGCAAAGCGTGTTGACGTGCTTGATTGATTCGTGCTTGGTCGTTCGTCAGGTGCGGCGCGCGTGGTGGGATTCAAGTGTGTGGCGATGCTGGTTTGGATGATTTGCAGGTCACAAGTCAGGCACGGCGAAATGCAGTGCTGCGGGGCCACGGATGATTGAAACGCTGCACACTTGTTGTCGGGGAACGAATCGCTATGACACAGAGTGTTTGATGGTCTTCCGGATTGGTGTGCCGTCGATCTTCAAAAGCCAAGCATACGACCCGTGAAAAATGGATTCGCTGGGATGAAAGTGGAATATGGCGTCGCTTGTTGAAGATGACAAGATACCGAAGGTGGAATGGCAGGCAAGGGCGGGAGTGTCAGAGGGCCGTCTAGAGCCGTCGCCGAACCGCTTATTCGCCTTTCCTTTTTTCCCTGGTTTGATGCCTCGCAATTCATCGCACGATGGAGTGTATATGTGTGTGTGTCCGTGTCACTGCTGGCAAGGCGGCTGATTGATAAGTTAATGACAGTCTTCTTGCTGGCGGTTGTGGTGTGGGCAAAAAAATTATTTGACCATCTAGCTGCAATGAAAGGTAGGTAGGTCATGTGCCTTGAATAATAGGTAGGTGGGTAGTTTACTTTCCCTAGCTGTCTGTCTGCCTTCCTGATCTCGGGGAAGCAACGGGAAGGGGGGTGAGCTTGGGCAGGAACGACCATGTTTGCCTTCCATCCATGCGTGCGAATGAACGCAGGTGCGTCCCAAAGCGAGCCCAAAGGTAAGTGGAGAAACTACCGTATCATTCCTTGCCTTTCTACATCTACCTACTTAGCTGGCTAGGTAGGTAGGTAGGTAGGTAGGTCTGATACCAGGTAGGTAGGTAGGTAAGGTCCTTAAGGTATCTAGGTATAACAGCTGAGATAACAATGCCTTGTTCTTCGTTTCATTGTTTCATCCCGCCCATCCAGGAACTAGCGGCTATGTTTGGTCGGCAGGAGCAGCACCTAACAGAATGAGTGGACGGGAGGGACATGGCAGGGCTAGCAGAGGAGGCAGGATCCCCCGCCCTACAACGAACCCATGCCTGAGACCGTTAGTGCCTTCTTCTAGAGTCCAACCACTTCATGTCGGTCGTTGCGGACCGAACGGCTTGGGCTGTTGTTGCCTTACCCTAGAGGCTTCACTGTGGCTGTGTAGCACTCATCCGTCACCTACCCTCTCCGTCTCGTTGCCAGGCATTGATCGTCGATCGAGTCTGTTCTACTTCACTTGGTCTGGTCAAGGATACCAATAGGATGCCAGCAGACGCGATACGACACATTGCAACCGACTGGAGACAGACATGAAGGCTCACCTGTCCTGACTGGCTCGACAGACTCGAGCTTCCTGGCTCGACAGACCCGAGCTTCCTGGCTCGACAGACCCGAGCTTCCTGGCTCGACAGACCCGAGCTTCCGATGTCGTCAGAAAGCTTCTTCTTCAATAGCGACAGGCAAATCACCAGTCCCAACAAACTGGACAAAGTTGACTCGTACAACAGCGAGCCACGTCTGGTTGCCTACATTCACGCAACACCATCGGACGAAACGTCACCATCACTACTTTGATACGGAAGCGAGAGAGACAGAAGAAGAAAGGTCGTGGCCTGTTGGATTGGTTCTCGACACATCTCACAGATCACGGTTCACAGGCCTCCGGGCTGTGCTCGTGTCTCTATCTCTCTCTGTGACGCCATAGTCACTGGCCATTTCCGTTGTGGTTATGTCCCCGCCATTTCAGTTGTCGCATCATTACACTGCACACGACGACATGCTTGCTGCCAGCAGCAAGGCGCAGCAAGCACAAGGCTCACATCACCCCTGTCCGCATCACCACCTACCACACGACAGAGAGAGACAGCCCCGACAGCATCGTCCCCGGGCCATACTTTTGTCATTTCTTCCAGTTCCATTGACCTCGCCAGCCCCTCTCGCCTTTCTATCACCCAGTCACCGGTCAGCCACCTGGCCAGGGTCGTCCATGGTTTTCGGCCGTTATTCAACCTTTCGTACCACCTTGTGGCCCCCCCAAAGCTGAACATCTCGAAATCCTCCCAGTTCCTTTTGGCCCCCATGCCCCTCTCTCCCTCCAAGGACCACCGCCCACCCCCCTCTTCTTCATGACGGCGTTGCTTGCCTCGTGGGTCGCGGGTCGCGTACCAGTTCTGGAATTGGATCCAGGCCTTGGCCTTCGAGCCCGACCATACGTCTCCAATCATTGCTCAAGCCTACCCGAATCACGCATCCATCCACGAGGCTTGACAGAGGAGACCTCCCAGTCGTAGGTCACACCCCGGTGGCCTCCCCCGTCTCATCAGCAAGCGCCGAACAACCATACACACACACGCTCAAACACAAGCGCGCGCACACACAACTAGGCCTCCGTCACTTTTCCCTGGCATCCAAGGCTCCTATAACCCGTGTGACCTGCCACCCTACTCTTCCGAACGACTTCCAGCCTCACTATCCCATCCCCTCCATTTGTGATCACCTTGGGTCGAACTCTTCTGAACTCGCCGCCCCCATCTTCGCGACACGCTGGTCTCCCACTTACAGCATCGCATTGGCTCGCACGTCGAACAGCGAACCTCGCCTTCCCAACATGGAGTCCGACTCGGAGCCTGGCTCCTTCGCATCGCCGCCAAACGACGGCGCTGGAGTCGGTGCCGATGCTGCTGGCATCGGTCGCCCCTCCATGTGGAACAAGTCTGGCGAGCGTAAACTTACACGCCTGTACACTTATACCACCCTCAGCATGACACAGATCCGAAAGGCTCTCGAAGCGCTTCGTGTCTCCAACACTGATGAAAGTCCCGGCAAGGACTCGACCAACAAGAAGCTTAGCTCCAACCTCGACAAGCAACCACGCTGGCTCCGCCCTAAAAACATCAGTGATGCTCAACTTCGCGTCAACGGCCTTGCTCATGCCCCCATTCGCCGCTATGGACCCAGAAGCCCCTTGGCTCGCGCCCATGCGCCTTCAGTCTCCTCCAATGTTTCTTCGCACGACAGCGTTGACCAGGCCATTGAAGCCGAGTCAAACATGGTCGTCGTCAGCAACCAGACAACAGGGCTCGGCATTTGGCCAGAGCCGTCGAGCCACGAGCCATCCTTGACCGCTGTAGCCAAAACTGAGGTGAACATTTTTCAAGCTGATCCCTCTGCCGTCTCTCGGCCACCAGACTCTGGCCTGTCCGCCGCGGCTCTTCTCCGACGATCCACCGTTCTCTCCACCTCGACCGAAATGTCATCCCGCTCTCTTCGGGAGGCTCTACCGGAGCTGGGGCGTACCGCACTCCGCCTGGTCACTCGCGTCGCCAAGCAATACACAATGATGCCTCAGATCACCGTTATTTCCGAAGGCGGTGACACTGCCGCACCGCCTCACTCCGGCAATTCCGACATGTCCAGTAGTCCCTGGTTGGAGGAAGAGGAAGGTAGCGATCGACTACCGATCGACTTCCGCCCACGCCCGGGTTCATTTCTCCGCCTCGATCATCAGCTCCGACAACAGATTGGCTGCCTGCCCGGCATCGATCAGCACGACTTCAGATCATGTTACTGTTACGTCAGGGACGAGTTGACCGCCGAGCACTGGGTTCACGAACACGGAGTCTCCGGTGATGCTGAACATGTCTTCCTGCATGGCCTTGCTGCCACGCCAAACATCAAAGCACGCGATCCTTTCGGCAACACGTATCTTCACCTCCTCGCAGCTCGGGATGGCCCTCTTCGCCGCATCACCGACGCTATTACCATAGCGCCCGACCCGTTGGCGACGAACAGTGCGGGCGAGACCTTTTTGCACCTGCTGGGCAGCTCTTGGTACAGCAGCTCGACAATCACCAACCAGCTCGTACATCTCTTGAAGACGCTGGAACGAGGCGGACATGACATTTACGCCTGCGACGCTTCTGGTCGCAGCATTTTTCACTTGCTCGAGGACAAGGTCGAGGATAAGGCTCTCCTCAACCGTTTCCTTCATGTTTTTGAAAGCCAACGCTACCACCGCCGCGACGCCTTCGGCTCGGCCCCTGGTGTAGCCCCGATCATCAATGGGCATCTCTACGCTCCTAATGGCGATCGCTTCACTGCATGGAGCCAGACGCCCCCTCTACAAGATCAATCAGGCGTCCCAGCCGCTGCGTCTGCCCCGCCATCCTTGTCCCAAGAAGCCGCCTTCCAGGCCCTCCGGAACGCTCGCCTCATGGAGCTCGTGCGTCACTCTCAGTCGAAGCCGCTCATCGAAGACTACAAGGGAAGAAATGGCCTGCATTGTCTGGCTGCTGCCATCCTCAGCGAGGACACATTACTCGCGAAATACAACACGCCGCCTCCAGGCTCCCATTCGCCTGGCGCCCATCCAAACCCTCGTAAGCGCCGCCTCAACACCCCCTGTACAGACCGTAAACTCTCCGACGCCTCGCGCGGCCGACTCAACGTTCGCGCCGACATTTTACACAACCTGTTAGCCTGCGGCGTTGACCCCAATCACTATGCACACGACGGCACGACTCCTCTCATGGCCTTTGTTGCCCGTCTCCCCGAAGATGGTGACCACAAGGGACCGGTCATCATACTCGAAAAGCTCATCGACAACGGCGCCCGGATCGAGGCGCGCAATCGCCAGGGCGAGACCGCTCTGCATGTCGCTGTACGATGCGGACGCAAGCTCGCCGTGCGGACTCTGGTCAAGCGCGGAGCCAGCGTGCACGCACGCAACGCTGCAGGCCGAAGTGTTCTCGACGTGGCGGACAGCCGCATGTTCTGGTCGCGCAACCAGGAGAAAGAATATTCTCATTACGAGGCATGCCGGGCGTGGCTGTCTGGGGAGGAGGCGCGGGCCGTGCAGCAGCCGACAGTTGCGCAGGAGTGGGCGTGGCGGGAGCTGTGAGCACGGCGTTGAAGAGCAGTGTTGCTTTGCGGGGAGACGCGGGGGAACAGGAAAAGAATTTGTTTTCACATATGGGGGTTGTTGGTTTTCATCGGCGCTTGGCTTTCGGGACGGACGGCGTATTGGTTGTTTGGAGTTTGGATATACAGCGTGGCCATGAAGTACGATGATGCCCGAGGATGGACGAGACATGAGCTATGGCGATACGAAATATGAGCCTACGGGTTGGAATTGATGGGTTGGCCTAGCCAGGATATTCGCGTCTTTCTATTTTGCTTGCCATCGGGTGGGATGCCGATGTGTACTATTCGACTTTCCATCCACCTATCCGCAAGTTCCTGCCGTGACGGTTTCTGATTGTTGATATCTGATCGTGGATGGGCAGGTCGAAGTACGCGCAATCAGTGCTCGATTGCCTCAATTCAATGCGGCCCGCGCGACACGGGGACATCACCTAGACAGATTGGTAGGCACCGAGGCCCATTGGCAAGGCGACGAGCCAAGCACCAGGCCCGCGGCTGCCTGGCGCTGCAGTCACGTCACGGCGAAGAAGGCCATAGCTACGTGCCGCCGCGAGACAAGACAAACAGGGCAGCCCCTCACTGTCAAGGTTGAAATCGTACACTGCATTTCGTCTATGTCTCCATCTTGGGATTCTACCTGTCCGCGCGCGCGAGAGAAAGAGATAGAGAACGCGTGGGGACCTCCTGTCCCGTTGTCACCACCACGGTCAAGGGAGGCCAGACACAAAAAAAAAAAAAGAAGAAAAAACGACAAACCCACGGTCTCACTTCTCTTCTCGTTTCGTCCCGGTTCCTGATCAAACCATGGTGTCCCCTTGCCCCTCTCCCTTTCCCAACGCCTACCGTACATTTCGCAGTTCTACGAAGGGAGGAGCGGCGGACCTCTCTCGTTTATTCGATTCGATCGTACGGCTCCCTACGTGTTTTGTTTTTTCTCCTTGATTCGACCTCCCCGTTCGCCCCCTTTACCCTTCCCCATTTTAAGGGAAAAGCAAGGCCATAAATATCAAAACTTGCAGCCCCCGTTCGAAGCTCGTCACCAAGTGTCGAGACGGCAGAGGGTTCTAGTGAAGAATGTGCCCTGACGGCTCTTTACGCAAGATCGGACCAGGCCTCGCGCAAAGAAAAACCCGCCTTCCATCCGCATATTGGGTAGGTGGGTAGGGCACATGGGGCATTTTCTTTTGTCCACAGAAAACGAAAGCCTACACGGGCAGCTTGAACTTCTTGCCCTTGAGGACCTTTGTGTAGTAGATCCAGAAAAAGTCGCTGTAGAGGACGGTCTGGATGATGCCGGCGATAATGGCGATCCAGTCGACCTTGTGTCGGGGCTCGGTGAAGTAGCGGTAGATCCAGTTGGGAATGTAGAGGGCGCGGTAGCTGCCGAGGGCGAAGAGGTAGTGGGTGGTGATGGTCTCGGCCTCGCCGGTGCGCTGCAGCATGAAGAGCTGGGGCAGGATCGCGACGGCCTCGAGCCAGATGGAGAAGGCCCAGAGGATCTCGAAGAAGCTGTAGTAGTAGGGGAAGAGCAGGGCCATGACGGCGGCGCCGCCGAGGAGGTACTGGACGCGGAACGTGTCGAGGTTGGCATCGTTGGTCGGCTTGTAGGCTGTCGTCATGAGGTAGATGATGTAGCCCTGGGAGCCGATGAACATAAGCTTGAAGAGGAGGTTGTACGCCGTGTTGGTCGCGAAGAGGTCTAGGCATGTTAGCTGGCATGTCTGGAAAGAGGCTTGCTGAGGCAGCGACAGCAGCGACAAGAAGTAGCAAGGGCGGCAGAAGCGAGCGTACCAAGATACCTGGTGACGTAGACCAGAAGATAGAGGGCTTGAGACTTGAACGAGATGCCGGAACAGCTCTGTCAAGGAGAGAGGCACAGAGTTAGCTGGCATGGCCGTCATGGTGGGCTGATGAGGGGACACCGTGGGTAGACGGTAGACGGGATCTTGCGTACGTTCAGCTGGACCATCTTGTGGAGGAGAATAATAATGCTCGCCAGATGCGAGAGATCCGCTGCAGAGATTGCATGGTCAGCTTCGTCGCCCTAGTATGACCTGTGGCCTGCGCGGGATGAAGCTTGCGCGCGCGCTCCGATGCGCAGAGCTCCCCAAGCAACAAGGCACACATACCAAGGATCCTGAAAATGTTCAACATGATGACGTCGGGGTTGCCCCTGGGGCGGCTTCAAGTGGTGATGGACAACGTGTTCGGGGCGCTGGCTGCTTTGAGGAGCAGCGAGAAAGGTCGAGGAAGGACGGCGAAGGCGATTTGAGGTTGTTGAAAATGACTGGCACGGCGTGTTGAAGCTTTCGACGTGATGGGTTATCGAAGGGACACTTGAAAGGACACGAAACGCGATTAGGGAGCTGATTGGATTGGGTCAGCGCCCTGTAAGGTACCTTGCTGGGGGTGACCTGTTGTCACTGGGAAGGCCTGGACTGGGGCTTCCTAGGGAGACGGGCCGCTAGCCGGGTACGAGCACCAGGTGAGACGCTCAAGACGCTCTCCTTGCTCTCCAAGCTCTCCTGACTCTCCCCCTAACTGCCTCCCTCGCCCGCCCACGTACAGACCCACAGGCCTTGGGATCTGGAGCTGAGGTAATCACATCGGCATTAGGTACCACCGACTTCCGAAGCCAGGGGGCCTTGGGGCCTTCCATTGGGATGCCGGAGGAATCGCTTCAATGTGGGTCCGTTCGGTGGGTTCAAGGGTCCGAGGTTGAGACGTCGATTTCTAAGCCGCCCAGCTGTGTCGCCTAGACGAGAGCCCATGTTCGCCTACGTTACTGTGCCTAAGGTCGGTAGGACGATGTTCTCAGCCCTTCGGCGCATTTCTGTCGCCATCATTTAAGTATGTGGTTGCGCCATTGACTTGCCTGCCTTGCCTGCCTTTCAAAGAGGGGCATCTTTGGCGTCAATCTTCAACTTCAACACCAACACAAGAGTTCACCGCAGCACTTGTCCAGGATCGCATCACCAACAACGCACCATCGAATACCCTATCTACCTACCTAGATAACGCAGAACAGCAAGTCATGGCCGACTCCAACGCGGCATCCCCGAGGGTGCCGGACCCCTTCTACGACTCCGACGCCACGACATCAGAGATCACCATCACCATCACGCACCGCAACATAGCCTACACCTTTGACTTTGACCCCTCAGCAACCCTTACCGACCTATCCAACGCCATCGCCGACCAAATGTCTATACCCCACGCCACCCAGAAGCTCCTCATCCCCAAACACGGCCTCCAAAAGCCTCCGTTCGCAAACCCACTCCCCCTGTCGCCCCTCCAGTCCACCAAGATCCAGCTCCTCGCCCCGCCGCCAGCAGAGCTCGCCTCCCTCCACGCAGCCTCCGAACTGGCCTCCGCCCGCGCCGCCTCCCGCGCCGCAGCACGCCGCGCCCGCCCCTCCGCCAGCGCCCGACCGACCTCGAACCCCATCTCGACCCTGTCCTCGTCGTCCTCCTCATCGACCTACACCTTCCTCACCGTCCGCCCGCTGCCCTTCCTGCCGCACCCGGAACAGAGCCTGGCGCTGCTGAACCGCCTCAAGGCCGACCCAGGCATCCGCGCCAGCATGGCCAAGCACGCCTTCACCGTCCAGCTGCTCACCGAGATGGAGCCCCTCGCCAACACGTCGTCGACCCACGAGGGCACGACGCGCCTGCTCGGCCTCAACCGCAACAAGGGCGAGGTCATCGAGCTGCGCCTGCGCACCGACGCCCACGACGGCTACCGCGACTACAAGACCATCCGCCGCTCCCTGTGCCACGAGCTCGCTCACAACGTCCACAGCGACCACGACAAGGACTTTTGGGCCCTGTGCCGCCAGATCGAGCGCGAGGTCGAGGCCGGCAGCGGCGGCCACACCATTGGCGGCGGCGGCTACACTGCGCCGGCGAGGGGCGGCGACGGGGATGAAGACGAGGACGTCGACGACCACGGCGGCTGGCAGGGCGGCGAGTTTGTCGTCGGCGGCGGCAGCGCGCCGAGTCAGGGGCTCAGTCGGCGGGAGATCCTCGCCAAGGCTGCCGAAGAGAGGTTGAAAAGGATGAACATGGACAGGCCGGACGGTGGAAGGCCAGATTCGGGACCATCGTCGTGATCGGGTCTGTTTTCTTTCGAAATTCAAGAGTTATCAGCATAGCAAGCGTTGTATTTGGTCCCCTTAGTTTCCGTCCACGATGAGACATAATTAGAGATACGTTCGGTACCATGATCGCAATTCATTCATCAGCGTAGACGCGCAAGTGATTTGATCGCAATTGAGCTACCTAGCCAAGGCAACCCCTGTTTTCCGTACTCCATACACTGTACTCAACAAATCGACACGCAAACGAAAAAGTCAACTGACCCCCTCGCAATCCATGCTACTCCAGCGCGTGCCCATGACACCCGGGAACTCACAATCTCCCCAGGCTAAAAGTAACCCAATTTCCTTTCCCCACGCGTGTGCGGTATGTACCGTGGCCCATTACCTTGGCTCCCAATGGGTGCGAGAAATAAGGCCAGTATGGCGACCCTCGACTCGCATACCTATCAGCTCCAGATTATGTCGAGCTTGGTTAAGCTCCTTCTGCAGGGATGCCTCTCTATGTACTAGAAATCGTCATGTCGTCAAATTGCGAGACAACAAGCTCGCCTGCCGTGTGGAAGGCTCAGCCGTAATGGCGAGTGCTGTGGGTTTCAAGCGTGCGCTTGGCAACGCCCATCATCTGGGAGAGGTTCTTCAGGATGGGATCGTTGCCACGAGTGCTGCTAATCCGAACAAACAGGTTCTCCGTATTGGTGATGATAAGGTGGAAAATCTTAGGGGTGATGGCGCGAGCATCGGCCTCCTGTACATGGTCAGACTCTAATCTCGACTGTGCTAGCAAACGTAGAAAAACATACCATGTTGTCAAAATCAGTACTGATCTTATGAACGACCACCTCGAGCCAGGCAACACGCTCACGGGTAACAGAGTCAAGGCTTTGGCAAATCGTGGTTGCGATTGTGAGTAGGAGCAGACCAGGCATGCCATCAAGAACCAGCTGCGGGCTGTACTTGCTCATGAGTCGGTCGAAGATGAACTGCTCACGACCAGACTGCAGCCAGCGAAGCAGGGCATCTTCAGTCCTGCCTGCTTTGATAAGACCGTCAATCCGAGCCACACAGTCAGCCAGCTCCTGGTCAAACTCCTCTTCGCCCTGGCTTTGGTTGGCGAGGGTGAGCGCCTGCGAGTTGGCATGACTCTGCTGGTAGGGTGCCCCGTGTTGCCCATGTCCGTGGGAAGACGCCTGGGACTGCTGATAGCCCACAGAACGGTGCTGCGATGCCTCGGGGCTCTGCATCGAACCATAATGCTGGCTGCCTTGCTGCTGCTGCTGCTGCTGCTGCATGTGCTCCTGCATTCGCTGGACCTGCTGCTGCATCTGGGTGAGGCCCTGGCTGTGGACCTGGCTAGGTCCCTGGCCGTGACGCGGCCCATACTCCTGGCCCTGTATAGCCGGTGGGAGCTGGTGCTGCTGAGCAGGGATCGCCTGCTGCAAGGGACCAGGGTTCTTCGTCGTTTGCTGCTGGAAGCGAATGAACTCGGTTTGGAACTGCTCCTGTGTGGCTGCCATGCCAGATACCATGCTGGTCAACTGCGCGAAAGCAGTGTGCAGCTCGTCGATCTTCTTGCTATCAGCAGCACGCTGTTCGTGAAGTGCTGTCATCTCGGAGTGGTGTTGACGCTGCAAATCGTCGGCAACCTGTTGGCAAGCTGTGGTGGCCATCACGGTGAAAGCAGTCGACATTTGGTTGGTCAGCGAGTGGACCACTTCGCGTTGGACGTTCGCAGCAACTGTAGACCCAACACGGTCGGAGAGTCCCTTGATGAAGTCGGTGCTCTGCAGAGCATGCTGTGTTGCCGAGGGAAGGCTCTTGTTGATCTCCTTCTGAATGGTCTGCGACAGCTGGCGGTTTGTGCCAGAGCTGAACTGCTCCGAGACCGCCTTGCGCGCAACATCCGAAATGGTAGGCATGGCGAGGTCGAATTGTCCCTGGATCAAGGATTCCAAGACCTTCTGGGTGTTCTCATTGAGAACATCAGAGATCATGGTCAACAAGGTCTTCTGATGCTGGTCAAAGTCTTTCTCACGCTCGCGCTGTCCGTCTTCCAGCTTGGTGTGAAGTGACTTGATGGCGGCATTGATGGTACCGGCGAAGCTGCTGTTCAGACGAGACTCCATCGTTGTCAAAGAATTCATGACAGTCTCGATAGACTCCATCGACACATAGCTCGAGGGCACCGCAGGAACAGCAGCGGTGGCGCTCTTCGAGTCTTTGGGGGTGACGCGAGGTGACTGGCTGCCACCATTGGATTGCGACTGCGATTCGGCAGCTAGAGCGGCAGCTGCAGCGACTGCGGCCGCCTTCTTCTTGCGACCCTTGCGCTCCGCCTTCTCAGGCTTGTCGTCCTTGACGGGAGCGGTCGTCGGAGTGTCCTCGTCCTTGGATTCCTGTTTCTTGGAGGCAGCCGTGGGGCGCGTGGCGGTCTCATCTTGGGAAGAGGGCGCGGTGTGCGCAGTAGACTCTTTGGTGTTGGAACGAGCAGGAGCCGGAAGCGCAGGTGCAGGCTCCTGATGGGCGGGCTCGGCCGGCAGGGCATGAGGTGGCTTGAGCTTGGAAATGCTCACAACACCAGCATCGACAGCTGAGACCGGTGCAAGGACCTTGTTATCTTTGGACCAGCCGAGCTCTGCCTGCTTGATCAAGAGACACGCGACACCCTTGGAGTGCATCGCATAAAGCTCGAACAAGGTCGGCTCGTCAGAGTCTTGGCTCATGGCAGGGGTGGACAGCAGGTCGAGACTGCGCAGAATTCCTCGGTTGGCAAACGAGTATTCGCGGACACCGCTAATGACCGCGGTCGAGTCAGGCTGGGGAATGGTGGTGTCATGATCAATGAGGCGCTTGATGTAGTCGACCTGCGAAACGCTCTTGAGGTTATACTTAGGTGCCGATAGGTGTGCGAAGTAGATCGAGTTGCGTGTTGGATGACCAATGATCAACATGCCGGTAGGCGCGTGGTACATGACGCTGCACACTGCGTCTGACTCCTTGCTGTGTGGGAGGTTGAACTCCTGAACGGGCTTACCGAGGGCCAGGTCCCAAAGCTGAAGTGTGTGGTTCTGCTTCATGCCGATAATCATGTAACGCAGCGCGCAACGCTTCTGGTAGGGGCGGAGCTTATCCACCAAGAGAACCGAGGTCGGCCATGCCTTTTCGCCTTCCGGCGTACTCGTCAGGGTCAACATGGGCTCTTTTGACCTCCAGAGAAGTGTGCGCAGGGGTAGGGGCGCGAGGGTCGCTGCCCTCCTTGGCTGCGGTGAGATCTCGAACATCCCAGAACTTGACGCGGCCAGACTTGTCAAGCGAAACGATGACGGTATCGTCCTGGCTGAAGGTGAAGTCCTTGCCAGCCTTGCCAGTGTTGATTTTCAACGAACACTGTTTAGCCAGTTGCTCCGTGTCGACGACACGGTCGTGACCAGGCTTGAAGAGGTTCTGCTGCATGATGAACGAAGGCCAGATAATGTTAATAGACTTTCCGCGGCCAACAGCAAAGAACTCGGGGTGGATGGTGGATGAGCGGGCGCGAGTCTTGAGCACTCCACCCGGCGTGTCTCCCTCGTGGAACGACATGGGAGGAAGAGCAAAGCCATACTGCTCAGGGTTCGCGTCCTCAATGTGGTCCTTTTCGCCATTGCGAATCTGCACCCAGAAGACGGTGCCGCTGATGCCAGTACCAATGATGGTCTCCCGGTGCGCGCCGTCGTGGTCAGGGGCGGTGCAGGACATGGCGACGTTGAAGATGCGGTCCTTGGTGTCGGTGAAGATCTTAGCATCTCTACCATCTTCCTGGCGGATGACGCGCAGACCGCCAGCCTTGGACATGCCGTACACCATGTACCGCTCAGTGGCCGTGTAAAGGTTACGGTCGATCTGGTCAAACTCCTTCTTGAGGCGAGCGATATCCATAATAGCCTCGTCACGCAGCTGAGGACGCTCAATATCGCCATTGTCGTTGACTTGAATGCTGATCCACGGCTTCATAGGGAAGTTGTAGACCTTGACAGGCTGGGCAGGCTCTTCCTCGATGACGACGATCTCATCCTGGTCGGCGCTTTCCCAGCTGTCAGCGACGCCGTCAGCTGCCTCATTGGAGTGATCGGCGTGTCCGGCAGCAGCGTCCTCGACGATCTCACGAACCTCGAGAGCGGCCTCGGGTGACATGATCTTTTCGAGAGCACCGCTGTTCTCGGCTCGATCCAGCTCCTTCTTGATGGCTAGAGCAGCATGCTGCGCAATATCTTCAAATTCCTGCTCGGTCCTCGCGTTATCCAAGTCGTCAAGGTCCTTCAGGTAATCAGATTGGTCAGGCTCGTCCTCGGCGCGGGCAAGTGCCTCCTGAGCTTCCTGGTCCGCCGTTTCGGCAAGATCATGCATAGCTTCCGAGACAGTCTCCGGGTTCCTGTCAGCACGGCCCGGACTGGCAAGCGAGGCCGCAGAACCGGGGGTCGGGTTGCCAATGGCGTTACCCGCAGGGGACACAGTGCTGTGAACAGCCTGGCTGCGGAGGCTCTGGGGGCTAGCGAGAGGGCTCCGCTCGTGGCTGATGTTCTTGCGGCCTGCACCTGGAGGCGTGGGCGAGCCGTCTCCCTTCTTCAGGATCAGGAAGGGAGGTCCAGCGGGAGACTGTCCGGCCGAGTGGGCGTGGGGCACAGCGGCGTTGCTGGACTTGGGGGTATGGTGCTGTGACGACGAGGTCTGGTGATCCTCGTAGTTGTTGTAGCTGTTGCCAAACAGCCTAGACACAGGAATGCTACCATCCTGGTTGGGTTGGAACGAGTACGAGCCGTAGCCGGCGGCAGGCTGCTCGTAGTGGTGCCTGTCGGAGGTCTCGTACTGGTTGTGCTGGGATAGGTGCGAAGAACTCTGTCCCTGCGATGCGTTGTCCAGGACCTGGTGCAGATGCCTGGAGGTATCGACGGGTGACTCGTTCGACTGCTGGAAGCTGCCGTGGCGAGAGCCCTCGTTTAGGAGAGGCTGATCGTTTTGGCTGGGCTTCGGGCGGTTGAGGAGATTAAGCAGGTAAGTGCGTGTCTCGTCGGGCGGCGACGCAGCACCAAAGGTCGCGGTCGGCGGAGCATCGTGTTGCTTGGGCTCCTCGTTCTCGTGGCTTCCGCTCATGAGAGCACGGAGGAGGCCAGTAGGGTCCTGCGACGAAGGGGCAGGGGCCAGGATCTGCGTCGGGAAAGGAGCAGGGGCCTGCATAGCAGGACCTGCCTGGTGCTGATGTTGATGCTGAGCTTGATGATGCGACTGTTGGTGGTGCTGGAGAGGGTGCTGCGGCTGCTGTTGCTGCTGTTGCTGCAACGGCGGCTGCGGCTGGTGCTGGTGCTGTTGAAAATGCTGGAACGAGTCCTGACTCTGCTGGAAAGTCTGGGCTTGAGCCTGCGACGGCTGACCGCCAGCACCGCTGAACTTGAGCAAGTTCAGCAGGTTGGAAGTGCGGTCACCAGTGGGAGGAACCATGGCGCCGGTGGGAGGAGTTGGAGCTGGAGGTGGCAAAGGCGACACCATGTCGGTGCGACTTGAGATGGTAATAAAACGCGAATGGGCAATGTGAAGAATAGACGAAAGGGTCGGGCGAGAATTGAACAAGAACACCCTCCCGTCGTCGAGGTGGTTAGGTGGTGACGATGTGGTTTTTGTTCCGCGGTCGGCAGAAGCCAGCGACGAAATTTGGGCAGATCAGCCTAACCTAACCGATGGTAACGGGGGAGGCTGGCAGGAGCGGGATCGAATCTCAGCCCAACCGTGAGTACCTTTTACCTTAGCGGTGGCCGCCAGCTCATCAACCCTGCAGCGAAAAGAGCAAGGGTGTGACGCGGTGAAGGACAGAGGTGGAAGGCGGTGAGAATGGGCAAACGCAAGAATTGGGTCAAAGGAGAGAAGGAAAGGTAGAGGAGCTGGCGTTGGACCAGTCAGAAGCTCTGGCGCCAGAGGGCGGAAGGTCGGACGGCGAGGCCCGACACGGCGGAAGACCGATGGAGCAGAAGTCACCCAAACGTGATTGGATGATCGGGTGCTTGGGCACCTGTGCGAGTTGATGGTGAGTTGGCAATTCAAATGGAGGAAGGGATGCTAAAAAAAGGGAGATTGAAGGTTTCCAAGGGCTGCTGAAGAGTCACATACCTGAAAGTCGGGAACCCGACGATTGACTTGTCCTTAGGTACCTTAGTTAGGTAAGTTCGATACGACTGCCTGGCTTCCGATAGTAGCCTTGTTATGTCGAAACGACGGCTGCCAGCTTAAGTAGGGACAAACGCCTGCTGCAGACTGCAGTGGTGAATTCCTGCGCCCCTGTGCCGTGAGATGTATGTGATTCGGTTAATAAAGGCAAGGCAAGGTGCAGTCACTACCTTAAGATACATTAAGGTAAGGTAAGGTAGGTAGGTAGGTAGTCGAGGGAAATAGCAAAAGGTGATCAGCCAAGGTTGCAAGGAAATCAATCAGTCAGGCTGTTGGCAAATGGTCGCCTTGCTCGTGCACGGGCCCATCCAGATCGCGGCTGCCGATCCTGTCAAGTGTCTGTCAGCGTCAGCGATGCCTGCCTCTCGACATTGCTGCCTCCTCAGAAGAATAAGTCAACCCACCTTTGCTTCCGAACCCGCATCCACCTCGCCACGGACACTCGCATCATTCTGGCAGTACAAAGCCGCTTCATCGGGAACCAACGAATTCACCCTCCTCCGCCATCACCAATTCTCGCCGCTCGGCTGGTTCGAGAGAAAAGTGGCATCGTCCTGTGATCGCCATGTTCTGTCTGCGCAGGTGAGCCACAACCCCCCTTCCCCCCCCCCTCCACGATGCGGCTCGTCAGCCCTGTCTGCCGCTGTTTGTCCCATGAATCGCTCCCATCATCATCTCGCCAAACCTGCCCGACTCACACACCCACGCACACGAATCGCGACTAACTCTCAATCCCTCCTAGCTGGCTCCCCCTCCTCTTCATCCCGACCAACGCCTCGCCGGCCTTCATCCTCCTCTTCTTCGTCTGCACATACTTCCTCAACAGGCCATGCGTCTACTGCAGCTTCCTGCTGCTCATCCTCTTCTTCACCTCCTGCAACTGGTCCGACCGCTGCTTCTTCGACTTTAGCGGCAACTGGTTCCAGCCCCGAGCACCGCCGTCTACACTGCCCGACTTTAGCGGCAACGACACCTATGCGCTCAACGCCACGGTCGAGGTCCTCAACACAACGGCGAGCGCCCTGGCCGGTGCGGCGGCGGACGAGTTCTCACGACGTAAACAAGAGTGGACTGGGCTCGGCATCGAGTGGCTGCGCAGTTTGCTGGGCAAGAGAGAGTGGAGGATAGACTGCCTCGATGTAATTGTGCGGCTGTGAGCTGGCCCATCTAGACGGCACACAGAGGCTTGTACCGAACGGACAGTACAAATGTGATTGTGGTATGACGATATTTCTTGATATGGCATTGCGGTGGCGTTGGCGGATTGGATCGCTTCTTTTACTTTTAGAGGCTGATCTTCAGGCAAATACGGGAGAGAGCATGATGATGGAGGATAACGTCGCTGCCTTTTTTCTGTATCATTACCCTCAGACGGTGAGGAAGTTTTTCACGGGCGTTTTCTTTTCGTACGAACTTCCCAAGCACTTGCGAGGTATCAAATTGATTCGTTGCGGCACATCAACTATTGGGAATTATACGAGATATTCTCCCTAACGACATGGAAGTGATCCATGCTTTGATGATGACACTTATGGGCTGCAAACATGCATGGACGTCTCCGGGGTGTCTCCACGTCGCGGAGCAAACAAGAGCCCTTGATGTAAGACAGTTCACGTAGGCGCATGCAAGTACGACCCGTGTCTGGCTTGTGCAGGTTTCGTGTAACACGATTGTGTGCGGTCAAGATCTATGGCTGTTGAAAGGTTTCATCCGATGGTAAGCGGTGTTTGCCCTGGCTGGATACCCTGCGAAAGTCTACTCAGTGTGCTTCTACTCTTTGCTGCTAGGTTGATGGAATGAATGTGTGCATCCGCATTCATTGCCGACTTCGGGGGGGGGGGGGGGGGGGGGGGGGGTGTAATCTGATGTGCTGTGGGTATGAGGGTTTCGAGGAACAGTCAACTGAGACTTATAAGGACCCGTCATATATGAAAAGCCAGCCCAAAGTTATGTCACAACTTGTGTTTCTGGATATTCGGTATACAACGTCAAATAGGATAACAGCGGCAGCGTCGTGGCATCACCACCATAGATGGGCAGATGCAACCATGGTCAAAGCGGATGCTGTAGGGCTACGTTTCGGCTGATTACAGCGACCAGCATTGTTCAATCAGATCAACCAGATTGATCATCGGCCATTTTCTTCGCATAAGCCTGCCTCCTATCAAAACACTTTCTACAGGAATTCCATGATCACGTCGGGAGATGCTGTCTCTTCGTATCATTCCAACATATTTCAGGTGGAAAACAACTTGACCCTTCTCAATGCTGCGTAGCCTTTGCCTCCCAGGAATGAGCGTAAACATGTAGGCTCGAATACGAACATTTCGTCCCAAAATTAAGATCCACAAGCTTGACATCTTGGACGCGATCGACAGTCTTAATTCGAGTTCACTTATCACTCGGCTTGCTACTCTCATTGTCCGAAGCTATGCATCCGTTGTCGTCGGCCATTTATAGCTGGTTGGGCGGAGCATCATGCACATTGTTGGACCGATTCCCTCAGTCTTCATCCTAGCACATTGGCTATTCAAGCAAAGCATTAGGAATCTCTGGCTTGCTATTTCAGCGAGTCAAGCTTTTCGTTATATTCCCTATAAAGTACTAACAAGCTTGGAAGGCCGACAATGTGAGCTCAAGTTAGTATGCTTGGGATGCCGCCATTCTTCAAGATCATTCGCGACGACATCACCAGCTGTATAGATAGTTCGCAAATCGAAAAGGCTAGGTGCCCTGCTCCTCTACCATTGCCAGCGAACCTCCCGACATAAGTTGAGAAGCGGCTCAAGGGGCTCCTGGGGAGTCGATCATGCACAAGGGCATCAGGACAATCACCACGGTCCGTGGCTCGATTTCACCGACAAGATCAACGCTTTGTCGAGGGTTACCTCGGCGCGGAATGTTTTAGATGCAGCTAGAGGAATAGACACTCATGTCCGGTTCTCGCGGCAACACCCCGACCCCGCAGCGAAGTTCTGGTGCAGCCGGACTTGTTGCCATAAAGCACTTATCGACCTCTTCGTCAGCGGCACTATTTTGCGGACGTGTTACTGTCTTTTGTGCCCGGCTTCAGGGGTGAATAGAACGTTGTTGCTGCAAGTGGAGTGAAATGTTTCCGTAAGTGTCCTACCGGAGACCTCGCCTCCGGTCTCCAGTATGATGATATCTCGTGATGCAAAGAAGCTAGTTTTGTTCAGTGCAACTAATTTGGGCGACTTAACGATGCCATGCAAAGGAGGGACATTGCGTAGGTCGACTGACAACTTGATTCCGCGTTGCCGCCTGGATTGTATTTCCAGCAAGTGTGGAAACGAGAGCTGTGCGATTCAATACTGAAAAGGAGTAGCTTTTTATATTCGGCAGGGGGTGGAAGGGTTCGTCCGGGGTTGCCGGCAGAAGCGGCATTTGGCAAATGGTCACCAGGATAAACCGCCACCTGGCAAGATTACTGAACAGGCGCTGTGACTCCCTGTGAATCGTATTTGGTTCTCATTAGCCAATGCCCAGTCAACCAGTGTGATCGAATGCGACGTCGTCTTTTAAGTTTGTCTTAAGGATTCAACCGGGGCGGTCGCCAATCGCCAATTCTCCAGCGGCAAACGGAATCATCTGAACAGATGCAACGGCGACTGTCGGGCAAGGCTCCAATACGCACATGGCTTCAATCGGTCCGTCATCCCAAAACCTTCTGAAGCCCGGCAGTAAATCCGGCGTATTTGATTGGGATGTTAGTGAGACGCTCCTCGGATTCGGCTTGAGAATGACTTGCAGCCTCCTATGGACAGGGGTTGGTTGGAGTAGACGCCGAGTTCCATGTTGCGCGTGCGCACTGGCGTCCAACGCGAAGAGCACATAGGTCACGGGCCGTCACAGCTGCTGGCGTCATTCTGTCTGCAGCCAGCGGGGTAGCTTGTCGTGGCGGAGACGCGGGAAGGTGAATGCTGTGGCAGGCTTCAGGAGAACTCTTGGCCCCAGAGAGGATTTTTGGCGCAGTTGACACCGCCTCCACGCAGAGGTCTTGGGGGTTATCATGATTGGTAAAGAAGGGTAATCCCAAAATTGAAACACTGGTTGCCAAGGCACCAATACGATGCAGACTGCTTGGATGAACTGAAAATAGCTACCATTTGAAAAAGGAGTTCATCGGGGTGATGATTCTGAACTTGAAGTGAAATATCGTGTGGTGCGAAACAGAGACGTGATGTGATGCCTCGAGAGAGGCAAGAGGCTCGCCTTGACGTTGGATTGCCAGGTACAAAGGGCCTTAGCGGCGCCACCGAGGGCCCGGGGTTGAGTGTCTCGGCACATGGGTGGGGAAGCAACACACG